AACGTATGGTACGCAAATCTGTTTCAGCACGTCGATAGATATACTTTCAAAGAATATATTCTGGAATTTTCATCGACAAACTATTTTTGATAAATGAGAGATTTGACTTTTTTGAGTAATTCAGGTCCGAATATACGGAACTATTTTTTTTCGCACCCAAAGAACGTATGGTACGCAAATCTGTTTCAACACGTCGATAGATATACTTTAGAAGAATATATTCTGAAATTTTCATCGACAATCTATTTTTGATAAGTAAGAAATTTGACTTTTTTGAGTAATTCAGTTCCGAATATATGGAAATATTTTCTTTTCGCACCCAAGGAACGTATGGTACGCAAATCTGTTTAGCCACCTTGATAGATATACTTCAGAAGGATATATTCTGAAACTTTCATCGACAAACTATTTTTGATAAGTGAGAAATTTGACTTTTTTGAGTAATTCAGTTCCGAATATATGGAAGTATTTTTTTTCGCACCCAAGGAACGTATGCCCCCAAGGAACGTATGGTACGCAAATCTGTTTGACCACGTCGATAGATATACTTTATTTTTTTTCGCACCCAAGGAACGTATGGTACGCAAATCTGTTTAACCACGTCGATAGATTTGTTGATAAGTGAGAAATTTGACTTTTTTGGGTAATTCAGTTCCGAATATACGGAACTATTTTTTTTCGCAACCAAGGAACGTATGGTACGCAAATCTTTTTCAGCACGTCGAAAGATATACTTTAGAAGAATATATTCTAAAATTTTCATCGACAAACTATTTTTGACTTTTTTGAGTAATTCAGTTCCGAATATATGGAACTTTTTTTTTTTCGCACCCAAGGAACGTATGGTACGCAAATCTGTTTCAGCACGTCGGTAGATATACTTCAGAAGAATATATTCTGAAATTTTCATCGACAAACTATTTTTGATACGTGAGAAATTTGACTTTTTTGAATAATTCAGTTCAGAATATATGGAACTATTTTTTTTCGCACCCAAGAAACGAATGGTACGCAAATAGGCAACACTGTTCGCAAATCTCATTCTAAACCCTGTTCGATTGTCCTTCGTCATAAACTGTGGATGAAAAGTTGTGGGTAACTTCACACTAATCCTATTGGAGACAAACATCGGGAAACACATGTATTGTAATACGTAGCTCAATCTGTTATTAAAGTAGCTACAAAAATCGAAGAAAAAGCTAGGTATCCGTACTTAAAGAAATAAAGTTGATGATGAAATCTAACGAACAAAACGTCGTATTGCAAATCGATCTATATCAGATTATAACAAATATGAAACAGTATTGAAAGTTCCTCCGCTGATATTCTCGATCTGAAAAGGAATTATTCTATTTTCCCAAAATAGGAAACATTTGTCCAATTTAACCGACCTTGTAGGTCTTACCGTTTTTGAGATAGCAAAAGTGTGCTTGTCTAAAAAAAAGGCCTGTATATTTAGGTGAGAATATACAGTGTGTAACAACGAAAACTTAACAGAGCCGTTTTTGAATATAAAAAGTAAGATTTTTAAAAAAGCTCGGACACGTCGATTTCTAATTAAAGGGGGACACCTTTCAGACTAATCAGATTTTTTGTAGTACGCACCCCCTCGGAGGGGTGCATCCGACGACCCTTATTTAGATAGGGAATGTAGGTCGAGTGGCACCTTGTTTTAAAGGTTTTTTGAATACCTTTACATCTCTGTTAAAAGAAAATTTTTGTAACGATTAGTTTTCGAGATAATTTGAAGATTTAAAGATATTTTTATTGAGTTCAACTCTTTTTAAAAAAAATCAAATTGTTTCTAAGGTACGTTCAGAACTTTCATAAAAAAATACATTTTTGCTTTTTATGACAACCTGTAATACGTGTGCATTTGATTTTGTAAAAAAGTAAGAATTATTTGTTTATTACGGGAAGATTTTTTCGGGGGATGGGGTTGGTTACCACCCTTACATTTTAGGTAAATTGACTGGCACCTCTTTATGAAGGTTGCCTTTTGACGTGGATATTTTATGCTCTGATAAAAAAGTGAATCATACTAAAAACTTACCTACACAATGAATACAACCTGCTGATTTCCTTGAATGCTGATGACACAGAAAAGTTTAAAAAACTGTTTTAGAATTAATAAATCCCAATAATTGTTTTTAAAGCACACACAAAAAAAGTAACACCTAATAAGGGTAACTCACATAGGAAATTTAGAGTAAATGTTCAAAATGTGCGCCATTTTGCTCCATGCAACAATAAAGATTTTGTTCGAATTTTGCTCTTACATTAATCAACATCTCAGGAGTTATAGCTCGGCATTCATCAATAATTCTACGACGTAATTCATCCAAATTGGCTGGCTGTGTAGCATAAACTTTAGATTTTAAATATCCACACAAAAAGTAGTCCAGTGGTGTTGAATCTGGTGATCGTGCTGGCCTATCAATTGGATCTCTTCTGCCAATCCATTGTCCTTCAAAATGATTATTCAAAAAATTTCGAACCTGTTGGGCATAATGGGGTGGTGCACCGTCTTGTTGAAAATGGATAAATTCATCTTGACATCTTGGATCCTGTTCAATTATTTCAACTATACGAGGTTGTATTGCCTCTTCAAAAAGTTGTAAATGAGAATCACCGGTTAAATTTCCATCAATGAAAAATGGACCTATAATATGATTGCCTAATATTCCGGCCCAGACATTCAACTCTTGGGGATGTTGGGTATGTATTTCTGCGTATTGTCTTGGGTTTTCATCCGACCAATAACGGCAATTGTGAGGGTTCACGCAACCATTTAAATAAAATGAGCTTTCGTCCGAAAAACAGATGTTAAAAAGCAGCTCGGGATTTTGCATTAATCTCTCACTTATGCCCTCACAAAACTCCTGTCTTCGGTCAAAATCATCCTCATTGAGTTCATGAACAAGTTTAATTTTGTAAGGATGGAATTTGTGGTTTTTAAGGATTCTCCATGCGCTCATATGGCTTATTCCTGCCATTGCTGATAAACCTCTGGTACTTAGCCTGGGATTGGCGATGACTTGACCAATCACTCCAATCGCATTATCGTCATTCACTACCCTTCTCTGAACATTTCTTTTCTTATTCAAAACCGAACCTGTCTCCCTGAATTTTGTGACCAAATCCAGAACGTGATTCCTGCTCAGGTGTTTACCAGGGTTCTGCTCGTTAAATAAAATTGATGTTCTATTAGCATTTTGGTCGTTGCCAAAAAGTAAAGCAATAACTGAAACCCTTTCAGCAGTAATGTAAGGCATTTTTAAACAAATAACAATACACGACCCGTTTAAACAAAACAATCGAACGATGTACTGGAAAACTGGAAGAAGAGGAGTGGGTATTGATTTTAAAAAAGGGATTTTATTCAACAAAAAACTGATAAGAAGAACTGCTCGATTTTTTTTAGTTAGGCATACAAGTTACCGAGTGGTGTGTCTAATGTATTATTAACATGGCAATTTTAACTTCAAATTATCTCGAAAACTAATCGTTACAAAATTTTTCTTTTAACAGATTTGTAAAAGTATTCGAAAGACCTTTAAAACAAGGTGCCACTCGACCTACATTCCCTATCTAAATAAGGATCGTCGGACGCACCCCTCCGAGGGGGTGCGTACTACAAAAAATTTAATTAGTCTGAAAGGTGTCCCCCTTTAATTAGAAATCGACGTGTCCGAGCTTTTTTTTTAAATATCACTTCTTATACGGCTCTGTTAAGTTTTTGTTGTTACACACTGTAGAAACAAGTATGCACACATCGATGATTTTCTCGTTTTTATCGAGGTATTTGAAACCTCTGGTAATGAATGACCATTTCACATAAATCACTTTTATGAGTAATCTATTGTGTACGTGTAATATTTTTGAGTATTCCGCGTCCAGTTTCTTACTCATGCAGCTATGTTGAAAATATTGACATCACCAATGATACAAGATGACTAACGCAGAAGAAATTAATGCACACCGTCCATAAATGAATATTCAATTTGGGAGACATGCATTTCTCTAAAAAATTACATTTTCAGTCGTTGTTTCATATTTGTTTTGAATTTTCTGATTCATTATGACATGTCAAGATAAGGTTATCGGTACTTTTTCTTCAATACATCATTCATTGATCACATTATTAAGAAGATAATTTTGTAGAAGCTCATATAGAATATATTTGAAGAAATGGTAGATGTTTCAAAAATTTGTAGTTTGGAAAATCAAATTGATGCGGCTCATAACGTGATTCAGCAAGACGACAAGATGGAGCTCCACCAGACTACTTTTTTTCAGTTAGACAGTGGCTGAATGGTAGATTTCCTGGCAGATGGATTGGTCAAAGAGGAGCAATAGAATTGCCACCACGATCATCCGATTTATAGCCTCTATATTTCTTTCTTTGGGTATGAGAGCATCTGAAATCGATTTACCCAGTGTATATTTCTACCTCAATCGATTGCTAACTCTTTTCTGGAGAGGTTATGAATTTTGTCATAAAACCAAAAATAACGGAGTTATGCGCCTTTTTCACTTTTCGTCGTTGAGTTTGCCATGAAATTTGAAATTATGAACAAAATAAGACATATCGGTTGCAATAGGCATCTAGATGTCTGTTTTTGTTAAGGATAGCTTTGTAAGTATGATTAGTTTGATCTTCCTCTTGAAGATAACCACTTGGTGATCGAAACACGTGTCGAGGTGTTAAAATAACGGTTTGGTGTTACGAAAAAAAACCCCAGTAATATCCATTACTACACCAAAGGTTCCAAACAGTGCAACACAAGTTTAAACCTTTATTTTCTATGCATAAAATTTCGAAATATCCGTTAAAGAAATAATTGTTGTCTAAAAAATTTTTTGAATATGTTGAACTTGTTTTCTTATTTACATAGTTTGTTTTCTTAGAAACCAATGTTATCCTAGTCTTAGTAGACTAGGTAGAATTGATACAATATGCTCCAGGCTCCAGGTAATCAAAATTGAGGATGTAGGTATATGAAAGTAGAGTAGATGGTCTAGGTCTAGGTAATTATGATGTACCTTACGAGGTAGTTGTCACTGGTGATTACGTGGGGTATATAAAAGTTAGAGTAAAGAATTAATTTTATGTCATTCACTACCAAACAGCTACTATGATATTTTTGAAAATAAAGTTTGTGAAGATCAAAATGTTTCTGGCGTAGCCTGTGAAATACATAAGTAGAATTTGAGAAAAATGAAAATTCACCTTATTTTTTAAACAGACAGCGTACATTATTAACATTTGTTAACCTAGGTTATGTATAATTCGAACATTTCCTTTTTTAGGAGGGGTAGAGTAATGGAGAATATATTTATGTTTCAATATAAATCACCAAATGTATGGAATTGCTTTCAGTGTACACAAAGTATATCAACGTGTGGTTCCCAGCACAATTTATAGTTGATTGTTAGTCCAAGTAACTTAATCGTTTCACTGGCATATACAATCATGTCATTGTCTTTAAAAATTTGACTCTGTCCCATAGTTCCCTTCAAAGTAAATTTCATCAAAGAGGTTTTAGATACATTTACCGTTAGATGATCTATTTCGGACCACTCCATTACTTTATTGTATACCATTTCTGATGTTATCACAAGTTCAGTAGTATATTTGCCAGTTATGAGTAGATTTGTATCATCAGCACATGATATTACTTGGACTTTAGAGATGTCAAGAAGGAAATAAATGAGATCATTAGCATAGATTAAAAATAACAAAGGTCCAAGAATTGAGCCTTGGGGAACTCCCTGTTTAACAATGAGAGATTGGCTCTGAGTTGTGTTGATGATTACACTCTGGGATCGATCAGTTAAGTATGATTTCATTACATTCAATGCTACACCCCTTATACCATATCGCTCGAGCTTAAATAATAAGAGGTCATGATTAACACAATCAAAGGCCCGAGAGAAGTCAATATAGCCCACAAATCTGGACTTTTCCATCCAAGGCTGTTATTACATTTTCTTGAAAATTATATGAAGCAGTTTCAGTACTTCTGCCAATTTATTAGGAAAGCCAGGGAAAACACAGTTCCTGACTACATTTCTTAATAAGATTATTAGATATCCCATCATGCCCACATGAATACGTGTTTTTCAGGTTATGAATCAAATCTCGTACCTCAAATTCACAAATTGGAGAAAAAAATAGTGAAGTTGAACAAATAGGTATAATTTTTTGTGTAAATTTACGATCAACTCCGACTTTTCCTGGAGTTTCCAGTTTCCTGGACCTTTCCAGTAGGGATGAACTACGATGTCTAACAGGCCTTCTAACAGGCCACTGTCATTTGAATCATCATATTCAGAGATTCGGACTGTCGGAAGTCATTGAGGTTTTTTGAGTTCGGCAGAGTACCACCGTGAAAGACCGCTCACCATACGAACTAATCGGCTTAGTTAAGAAGCTGGGTTCATCTGCTCTTGCGGGTTGCGGTGGAGGATTGAATAGACCCACTGCCTTTGGACCTAACCTAACCCTAACACATGTAGTCTACTCGAAAGTGACGTCACAAGTGACGCCGTGACACTTTGAAGCGTTTCGGTGCGAATTTTAAACATAAAGTGTATTTATTTTGTACTAAACTTCAATTTTTTGCGGAAATATGATTCACGTTATGATTATAATACATTTCCCAACATTATAGAACGGTATTTTGGCAATCTCAATTTTTTCTGCATCGTCGGACCTGCAGCGTCCCCGCTGCAGCAGTAATTCTCCGGCACTGGCAACCTTTCACCGTTCGGGCAGGCAGGAACCCACGACAGCCGCCACACATGGAAGTTGACCTGCGAAGACGTTTCGCTGCGGGCGGGCCTAGTCTCTCGGTCGGTCTCTTCTTCGAGTATACCGCAGCGCGGTGACATTTGAGGTGCACGTGCGTGAAATCGCTGGCTGCACGCGCGCCTTTTTCCAGTGAAAAGTGACATTCTACCGCGGAAAAGTGCAACCGTTAATTTCCCATCCCGGCACTCGCGATAAATGTTACGGTGAGTGGTGATGAAGTGCGCCTTTCTGCAGGGATATGCTTTTTTGAAACAGGTTAGTTTATAGCCGGTTTGGTGCTTCGAAAGCGTGCCTTGGTGTCCATTAGAATATACAGGATGTTCTACAGTTCAGTCAACGAGCATTTTTCAGTATAATTTTGATAAACAGCGCTCATGTTCATCAAAACTTGAATTTAGGGTCTACTTACCTTCAACTTCAAAGTTGACCTTTTACCGGGGGTTGATTTCGTTTTGGAAAAAGGATGCCTTCCCTTCTCGGGGGATGAACATTTTTTATTGAAGATAAGTCGGAAAATGGACTGACTAATTCTAAGTAACTTTCGTTCTATAAAGTTTTTCTGAAAGTCAATACTTTTTAATTTATTCGCCAGTGAAAGTATCGACTTTTCTTCAAATATTTCAGACGGTTTTTCACTCAAACAACAACTCAAAAAGTGAATATTTTTTCAAAAAAATCATTCGTAGTAAAAATGTAGCTTATAAAAAAGAGGGGTTAAGGATACCTGTAGACCCAATATAAAAACAATAAAAGCTTGTTGTAATTTATACTTTGTTTCCTAATGAAAATTAAAAATAAATTGATGTAGGTAGCCGTTACCACGTGTTAGGAGATCATCATGAAAAATGAGAGAAATAACACTTTCTATGTTATTTCACCATTTTTTATGTAACTAATATTACTGCAGTTTCGTCCTAAAAGGACATTTTCAAACAGTTTACTGTAATTCCATTATAATTTACCACAGCTGGTATAGAAGGTTTTACAATACTTTATCGGACTCGTCCTATTTTTGTATCGCAAAAGGATGGTAAACAAAATATTTTATGACCGTTCGGGTCGTTTCATTACCTGCAGTGGCGTGCATTTGGCTAATTAACCAAAAATACTTGAATATCACTGAGGTTTTATCCCAACACCAAACCGTTATTTTCAACACATCGACACGTGTTTCAATCACTAAGTGATCATCTTCAAGAGGAAAATTAAACTTTTAATTGTATTCTTCCTCTTTTAAGTGGTCATTAACGAGTACAATCTGGTAGACCAGCTTTCTGAAATTGCTTGACGTGAACTTGTAATGTCAACTCAAGCGTAATGCCATAAATCGTCGTCTTCAGTAGGTTCAGCTATCTCATTGTTGTCTGAAGCTCCTGGTTGTTTTTCGAAAATGTCCAAAAAACAGGTGTCCCATTGTAAGGGAACGTATTCAGTTAGGGCTGTGATATCTGTCAATTTGGCCGAAGTGATTGGTACTGGAGCAGTGTATAACTGTTCCAAATTTGCACTTGAAAGGTCAAATTTCTGAGGATTGTAAATTTGCCCCTTACCCTTTTGCAGTTTTATTGCAATTATTGTTGAGTCCAAATTGTAGGCTTTATGAATAAAAAACCCGGCTTTGTAGTTCTCAGTGTAGAAAAAATTCCCATCTTTAAATTTGGCTCCAACCAAAGTGGTTTTTGTTATAGTTTTCTGTGCTGTGAAATGTTTAACCATATCTTATTTCTGGACATAGAAAGGGACATTAACAGTTCTCAATTTATTAAATATGAACCTGAATCAACAGTTTTTATTTCACAGTATTATTTCTAATTATCAAAAATACTTGAAGAAAGTTACCTCGTAAAATAATAACAGCAAATGAAGTCGTCGAGGAAGTGACTAGCTTTGAACGAATACTAATTGCGAAGTGCTTGTTCAGAGGAAGTTTAAATTAAACAACATTCTTGTATTCAACATTATGAATAAAGTGAAAAATTTACTGAATTCAGCTACACTATCACAATTATATTCAATTATTTCAAACGGCGAGACTTCCTAGACTAGGAACATATTGGATTCTTGAAATTTTTCAACTGGTCGTTGATATACTGGTCGCGGTGTTAAAAATGTAGATATTATGACAACAGAGGATCTGGTGAAATTGAATAATATCTTTTAGAGTAGAATAAAACAAAGAATTGGACATAAACAATAGTATTTTTTTAGCCATTTAATAAATGTACCTATTTATTTCTCATCTATATTCAATCTCACTATCAATAAAAGAAGTGTGCGAAGCGCATTTGTGATGTGAAGTTTCATTGAAAGCATAGATGGTGTAAAGAAAGAATTAACAGGTGTCGTGATTTTCTTCTTCAATTTTCAATCCATATTGACCTTGGCTATTTGTAATATACACCGAAACTATACGGATTTCTTCGTGACAATCATCACATTTGAAATTACACAACATTTTGAGGTATTGATGGTTTCTAAGATGTTTAAAGAACTCCCAAATATTCAAGAATGTGGGTTTTCATCTAGAATGAAAAACTGGGAAGGAAGCCCATGAAACCCATTAAAATAATCTGATTACCGTTGTAACTGTCAGGCTACCTGTTATTGATTTATGGAGTTCAAATGGACTTTGTCGTTGGTTTTCAAAAATTGTCATTTCTAAAAAGAAATAAATCCAAAGACCTTGCACAATATGATAACCTTGAGTAAAAGTACAAATCAAACATAATTATTTCGCCGTGTATGTACAAAGACCGCAATATATGCAAAAAATTACCCAATAATTCTCATCAGAGCCGTTACTCAACGTATAACTTTGTGCAACTGAAAAAAATATGTAATTAACGCAATAGTTATTCAAGTATACTTCGACAATCGAAGTCTGCTTCATGCATTCATAATTACGCGTTAATGAGGATATAAAAAACCGTTTCCACATTGATATGAATAAACGATTTCAATTAGAGATCATTATCACATCAACTTTCATAATTTGATTGGGCTAATCCGAAACGCCCTCCTCACAAAAGTAAAATCAAGTTGACACTATTTGGGGTGAGTTTAACAAAAACACTTGTATGTTTGATTGTAATTCCTTTTTTTTTAAGTTTAGGGGTATAAAAGGATGTGTACACGGGTATAAATATAAAATGATGGCTTCTTTGAAAAATTACGATAGATTTGTCCTTAGTTTTAATTTAAAGAAAAGGAATATGTGAATTCAAAGTGGCTTCATTACAATGTAGGGATTACGGTTTAGCCAAAGGAATGAACTTTGAATGTAACTTTTTACTTTTTGCGACAGAAATACTATGATAATGACTATCAGTCGATTGATAACCCTTCTAAAAAATGATTGATTTGGCCCTAGTTTTGATTGAAAAAATGAATATTTGGTACAAATAGATTATAAACAATATAGTGATCATGGGCGATTCAAAGGAATGAACTTTGGTTGTAACTTTTGACTTCTTGTGAACGAAATGCTATAATAATGACTATTAGTCATTACGGTTATCAACGGTTATCAAGCGTTAACCGTATTAAAAACCTGATTGATTTGGCCCTAGTTTTAATTGGAAAAAATGAATATTTTGAGTACCAATAGATTATAAATAATGTAGTGATCATGGGCGATTCAAAGGAATGAACTTTGGTTGTAACTTTTGACTTCTTGTGACAGAAATACTCTGATGAAGAGATTATTTGTCGATTGATGCCTCTTCTACAAAAAATGAGAGATTTGTCTCTAGTTTTGATTGAAGAAAGGAATATTTGAGTGCAAAAAAGCTTGTACACAATGTAGTGATTACGGATGAACTTTGGTTGTAACTTTTGACTTCTTGTAATAGAAATACTAGTGCTGAGATCATTTGTCAATTGGGAATTCGTGAACATATTCGCTTTGATATTTGATAGAACGATTGCTATTGCCTATATGCCGTTCTCAACTGTTCCAAGTTGCCAAATAAACGCCTTGAATATACCGGATATTTCCATGAACGTGTCTGTACTCAACCTGCAGTATTCGAGAAGAAACTCTATTAGATTGTTTCGAAAGTTTCGTCTGCTTTTATGAGTATACTCGTTCCACAAATATTCGTCAAAAAAACAAACGCCTCACCCACCATACTATCCAGACCTCTCGCTAACAGACTATCATCTTTTCAAGCACTAAGATAACTTTCTCACCGGTAGAACCTCCGCCAATTGGGACCAGGCAAAAATGGCCTTCGTCTTCTTCATCTAATCTAATCAAATCAATCGACTTTTGTTATATTGGCAAAGGTGCACTGATTTTAACTGTAGATATTACAGTTTAAAGTAGATTCATAAAATTAATATAATATATTCGTTTGTAGCAATTTCAATTTAAATGAAATCATTTAGCACCTGCACCACTTTCATCTACAGAATTTTCATGAAAACGTCATCAAGTTTTCACTCGATTTTTTCTAGATTCTGAATTAGAACAAAGGGGTCATGCTTCTGTTTTCATTTGTTATTGCGAATGAACGTTATTTTCAAAGTCAGAGTTATGAAAGCAAATTCAAGAACAGGTGTATTCCGATAAAGAAAGCCTAGATGCAAAACAACCTTCCGAAGCCCCTATAGAAGTATTTATTCCAAATGCCTCGTTGAAATGACTTTGGTAACACTGAGCGAGTTTTTATGTTCATAGCTACATATGGTATGGAAATTAAGTTCTTACAAATCCAGTTTACTGCAGGTCAAGTACGGTGTATGTAATGAGTAACGTTCCAATAATAGAATTAATGCCACGACCAAATCTTTTAAAGATTAAACATATAGTACTGGAAAATTAGTTCGACACATAACCAAAGTGATTGCAAGAGTATAGATATTGATTATGAATGCACAGGTAAATATTGTTTATATACTATCTCTGCACGAAATTTGAACAAAATCCGAACATGAAATAGAAAAAATTCAAAACACACTCAAAACTACTACCAAGGCTTTGTAGCAAAAAATAATCTTCAACAAACATGAGAACTCAAAAAACAATCAGTTATTCACCAGGATATCAAATATAACCACACTTTGACACTGAGAAATTTCTCATATGAAAATTATATTCAGTTGACCAATAATTAAACCACTGCAAGGTAAAACATCATCTTTTGTGAAAAATTCAAGGCATTTCGTTGAACTACTAGGGGAAATCGAAGTCAAACAATTGGATCAACTGATCAGTTTCGACGTGGAAAGCCTCTACACCAACGTTCCAGTCT